TGTGTGTGTCCTCATGGCTGGTTCTAGAGACACGTAGCTGTGTGTTTGACATCACAGCTGGTTCTAGAGACACATAGTTGTCTGTGTGTCCTCATGGCTGGTTCTAGAGACAGCTGTGTGTGACGTCAGGGCTGGTTCTAGAGACACATAGCTGTGTGTGACCTCACGGCTGGTTCAAGAGACACATAGCTGTGTGTGACCTCACGGCTGGTTCAAGAGACACATAGCTGTGTGTGTCCTCAGGGCTGGTTCTATAGACACATAGCTGCATGTGTCCTCACGGCTGGTTTTACATACAAATAGCTATGTGTGTGTCCTCACGGCTGGTGCTACAGACACATAGCTGTGTGTGTGACCTCACGGCTGGTTCTAGAGACACATAGCTGTGTGTGTGTCCTCACGGCTGGTTCTAGAGACATATAGCTGTGTGTTTGACATCACAGCTGGTTCTAGAGGCACATAGCTGTCTGTGTCCTCATGGCTGCTTCTAGAGACACATAGCTGTGTGTGACGTCAGGGCTGGTTCTAAAGACACATAGCTGCATGTGTCCTGACGGCTGGTTTTACATACAAATAGCTATGTGTGTGTCCTCACGGCTGGTGCTACAGACACATAGCTGTGTGTGTGTCCTCACGGCTGGTTCTAGAGACACATAGCTGTGTGTTTGACATCACAGCTGGTTCTAGAGACACATAGCTGTGTGTGTGTCCTCATGGCTGGTTCTAGAGACACATAGCTGTCTGTGTGTCCTCATGGCTGGTTCTAGAGAGACATAGCTGTGTGTGACGTCAGGGCTGGTTCTAGAGACACATAGCTGTGTGTTTGACATCACAGCTGGTTCTCGAGACACATAGCTGTCTGTGTGTCCTCATGGCTGGTTCTAGAGAGACATAGCTGTGTGTGAAGTCAGGGCTGGTTCTAGAGACACATAGCTGTGTGTGACCTCACGGCTGGTTCTATAGACACACAGCTTTGTGTGTCCTCATGGCTGGTTCTAGACACACATAGCTGTGTGTGACGTCACGGCTTGTTCAAGAGACATAGCTGTCTGTGTGTCCTCAGGGCTGGTTCTACAGACACAAAGCTGTGTGTTTGTCCTCACGGCTGGTTCTACAGACACATAACTGTGTGTGTGCCCTAATTGCTGGTTCTAGACGCACATAGCTGTTTGTGACCTCACAGCTGGTTCTTGAGACAGATAGCTTTGTGTGTGACCTCACTGCTGATTCTAGAGACACATAGCTGTATGTGTGACCTCACGGCTGGTTCTACAGACACATGGCTGTGTGTGTGACCTCACGGCTGGTTCTACACACACATAGCTGTGTGTGTGACCTCACAGCTGGTTCTAAATGCACATAGCTGTGTGTGTATGTGTCCTCGCGGCTGGTTCTACAGACACATAGCTGTGTGTGTTTCCTCACGGCTGGTTCTAGAAACACATAGCTGTGTGTGCGTCCTCACGGCTGGTTCAATAGACACATAGCTCTGTGTGTCTGTCCTCACGGCTGGTTCTAGCGACACATAGCTGTGTGAGTGACCTCACAGCTAGTTCTAGAGACACATAGCTGTGTCTGTGTCCTCACGGCTGGTTCTAGAGACACATAGCTGTGTGTGTGTGCTCATGGCTTGTCCTACAGACATTAGCTGTGTGTGCGTCCTTATGGCTGGTTCTAGAGACACATAGGTGTGTGTGTGACCTCACGGCTGGTTCTAGCGACACACAGCTGTGTGTGTGACCTCACGGCTGGTTCTAGATACACATAGCTGTGTGTGTGTGTCCTCGCGGCTGGTTCTACAGACACATAGCTGTGTGTGTGACCTCACGGCTGGTTCTAGCGACACATAGCTGTGTGTGTGTCCTTATGGCTGGTTCTAGAGACAGATTGCTGTGTGTGTCCTCACGGCTGGTTCTACATACAAATAGCTGTGTGTGTGTCCTCACAGCTGGTGCTACAGACACATAGCTGTGTGTGTGTCCTCACGGCTGGTTCTACATACAAATAGCTGTGTGTGTGTCCTCACGGCTGGTGCTACAGACACATAGCTGTTTGTGCGTCCTCACGGCTGGTTCTAGAGACACATAGCTGTGTGTGTGACCTTACGGCTGGTTCTAGAGACACATAGCTGTTTGTGTGTCCTCGCGGCTGGTTCTAGACACACATAGCTATGTGTGTGACGTCACGGCTGGTTCAAGAGACACATAGCTGTGTGTGTCCTCAGGACTTGTTCTACAGACACATAGCTGTGTGTGTGACCTCACGGCTGGTTCTAGAGACACATTTATGTGTGTGTGTCCTCACGGCTGGTTCTATAGACACATAGCTGCATGTGTCCTCACGGCTGGTTTTACATACAAATAGCTATGTGTGTGTCCTCACGGCTGGTGCTACAGACACATAGCTGTGTGTGTGACCTCACGGCTGGTTCTAGAGACACATAGCTGTCTGTGTGTCCTCACGGCTGGTTCTAGAGACACATAGCTGTGTGTTTGACATCACAGCTGGTTCTAGAGACACATAGCTGTGTGTGTGTCCTCATGGCTGGTTCTAGAGACACATAGCTGTGTGTTTGACATCACAGCTGGTTCTAGAGACACATAGCTGTCTGTGTGTCCTCATGGCTGGTTCTAGAGACACATAGCTGTGTGTGACGTCAGGGCTGGTTCTATAGACACATAGCTGCATGTGTCCTCACGGCTGGTTTTACATACAAATAGCTATGTGTGTGTCCTCACGGCTGGTGCTACAGACACATAGCTGTGTGTGTGACCTGACGGCTGGTTCTAGAGACACATATCTGTGTGTGTGTCCTCACGGCTGGTTCGAGAGACACATAGCTGTGTGTTTGACATCACAGCTGGTTCTAGAGACACATAGCTGTGTGTGTCCTCATGGCTGGTTCTAGAGACACGTAGCTGTGTGTTTGACATCACAGCTGGTTCTAGAGACACATAGTTGTCTGTGTGTCCTCATGGCTGGTTCTAGAGACAGCTGTGTGTGACGTCAGGGCTGGTTCTAGAGACACATAGCTGTGTGTGACCTCACGGCTGGTTCAAGAGACACATAGCTGTGTGTGACCTCACGGCTGGTTCAAGAGACACATAGCTGTGTGTGTCCTCAGGGCTGGTTCTACAGACACATAGCTGTGTGTGTGACCTCACGGCTGGTTCTAGAGACACATTGCTGTGTGTGACCTCACGGCTGGTTCTAGAGACACATTGCTGTGTGTGTCCTCACGGCTGGTTCTATAGACACATAGCTGCATGTGTCCTCACGGCTGGTTTTACATACAAATAGCTATGTGTGTGTCCTCACGGCTGGTGCTACAGACACATAGCTGTGTGTGTGACCTCACGGCTGGTTCTAGAGACACATAGCTGTGTGTGTGTCCTCACGGCTGGTTCTAGAGACACATAGCTGTGTGTTTGACATCACAGCTGGTTCTAGAGGCACATAGCTGTCTGTGTGTCCTCATAGCTGCTTCTAGAGACACATAGCTGTGTGTGACGTCAGGGCTGGTTCTAAAGACACATAGCTGCATGTGTCCTGACGGCTGGTTTTACATATAAATAGCTATGTGTGTGTCCTCACGGCTGGTGCTACAGACACATAGCTGTGTGTGTGTCCTCACGGCTGGCTCTAGAGACACATAGCTGTGTGTTTGACATCACAGCTGGTTCTAGAGACACATAGCTGTGTGTGTGTCCTCATGGCTGGTTCTAGAGACACATAGCTGTCTGTGTGTCCTCATGGCTGGTTCTAGAGAGACATAGCTGTGTGTGACGTCAGGGCTGGTTCTAGAGACACATAGCTGTGTGTTTGACATCACAGCTGGTTCTAGAGACACATAGCTGTCTGTGTGTCCTCATGGCTGGTTCTAGAGAGACATAGCTGTGTGTGACGTCAGGGCTGGTTCTAGAGACACATAGCTGTGTGTGACCTCACGGCTGGTTCTATAGACACACAGCTTTGTGTGTCCTCATGGCTGGTTCTAGACACACATAGCTGTGTGTTACGTCACGGCTTGTTCAAGAGACATAGCTGTCTGTGTGTCCTCAGGGCTGGTTCTACAGACACATAGCTGTGTGTGTGTCCTCACGGCTGGTTCTACAGACACATAGCTCTGTGTATGTCCTCACGTCTCGTTCTAGAGACACATAGCTGTGTGTGTGGCCTCACGGCTGGTTCTAGCGACACATAGCTGTGTGTGTGTCCTCATGGCTGGTTCTAGAGACACATTGCTGTGTGTGTGTCCTCACGGCTGGTTCTACATACAAATAGCTGTGTGTGTGTCCTCACGGCTGATGCTACAGACACATAGCTGTGTGTGTGTCCTCATGGCTGGTTCTAGAGACACATTGCTGTGTGTGTGTCCTCACGGCTGGTTCTACATACAAATAGCTGTGTGTGTGTCCTCACGGCTGGTGCTACAGACACATAGCTGTTTGTGCGTCCTCATGGCTGGTTATAGAGACACATAGCTGTGTGTGTGACCTTACGGCTGGTTCTAGAGACACATAGCTGTTTGTGTGTCCTCGCGGCTGGTTCTAGACACACATAGCTGTGTGTGTGACGTCACGGCTGGTTCAAGAGACACATAGCTGTGTGTGTCCTCAGGGCTGGTTCTACAGACACATAGCTGTGTGTGTGACCTCACGGCTGGTTGTAGAGACACATTGCTGTGTGTGTGACCTCACGGCTGGTTCTAGAGACACATTGCTGTGTGTGTGTACTCACGGCTGGTTCTATAGACACATAGCTGCATGTGTCCTCACGGCTGGTTTTACATACAAATAGCTATGTGTGTGTCCTCACGGCTGGTGCTACAGACACATAGCTGTGTGTGTGACCTCATAGCTGGTTCTAGAGACACATAGCTGGCTGTGTGTCCTCACTGCTCGTTCTACAGACACATAGCTGTGTGTGTGTCCTCACGGCTGGTTCTACAGACACATAGTTGTGCGTGTGTCCTCACGGCTGGAATCACTGCGCTGCAGACAGTATCGTGCTGGTGGCGTCCCTGGCGGTGATTGCCGCCGGCACCCAGGGCAACATCTTTGCGACATCGGCGCTGCGCTCGCTGCGCTTCCTTCAGATCTTGCGCATGGTGCGCATGGACCGCAGGGGCGGCACCTGGAAGCTGCTGGGCTCCGTGGTCTACGCACACAGCAAGGTGACGCGCACACCCGCACAAGCATGCACACGCCCGCACTCGCACACGCCCGCACATGCACACGCCCGCACTCGCACACGCCCGCACTCGCACACGCCCGCACATGCTAGCACATGCTCGTTCATGCTCGCGAGTGCCTGCACGCGCTCGCCTATGCCCGCACATGCTCGCGTGCACAAGCACACACTCACACGTGCGGGCACCATACGTGCGCAGAGGCAGAGATTCCCGACAGTGTAGCCATGGAGGCTGTTGCAGCAAGTACTGCACGCGAGCACCGTTGATTCCCCAGTGCTGGCGTGTACACACCGCAGTAAGCACTCATTGAACGCCGTGTTGACCTAGGGGAGGCAACACCTAAATGGGGACCTAACTTAGAACTCATCCCCCACTCCATTGCCCAGACCTAGAACTCATCATCCACTCTATAGCCTAGACCTTGACCTCATCCCCCACTCTATTGCCCAGACCTAAAACTCATCATCTACTCTATAGCCCAGACCTATACCTCACCCCCCACTCTATAGCTGAAACGTAGAACTCATCACCCACTCTATAGCCCAGACCTAGAACTCATCATCCACTCTATAGCTCAGACCTAGAACTCATCACCCACTCTATAGCCCAGACCTTGAACTCATCATCCACTCTATAGCTCAGACCTAAAACTCATCACCCACTCTATAGCCCAGACCTAGAACTCATCACCCACTCCATAGCCCAGACCTTGAACTCATCACCCACTCTATAGCCCAGATCTAGTACTCATCACCCACTCTATAGTACAGACCTAAAACTCATCATAATCAGAATAAGTATTTAGACTGGAGAAAGCCCATGAGCTATAAAGCTCTTTTTCACAGATGTCCAGTAGGGTCTGGTAATAAAGTTACATTGACAAACGATAAAAAACATGGTAGGAGTGCAAAGCATAGGGAAGGTGAGCAAGTCACTCAAATAAATACGTAAATAAAAATGAAAAAGGTATATACGTACAAATGACGTAAGTACATCGATTGCTGCCGATGTTTCAACACTAAATGCAAGCTTGGGCAAGGTGGCAAAACAACAACAACAACAGCAGTCCCAGACCACATCAAGACAACACAGCAGCCCCTCAATAAAATTGCACATAACAATTGAACTATCGCATATCTGTCAATCCCTTATCAGTGTCCTGTAATAAGTTACAGACCAATTCAGACCTTATTGGTCACCCAGTGCCCTTATAAATTTCAACGTTCATCCTACAAAATCCCATCACAGGGAGGAAACACAAACAAATAGACACATTTTTGTGCCTGTAATGAAGCGGCTGTACGCCATATGGACCTTAAAATACATTTCCCTGTACAAGAACACATGCGAGCCGTATGCGGTATTATATTGGCACGCGGGCAAGGATCAAAGTTACCAATCAAATTGGCAAATGCGACTGCATCCAGCACTAATCCGTCTGCTTCAGGATATTTTCTGAAGGTAGATTTACGATGCCAAGGGACAACACGTGGTTTGTTTCTGAAACGTTGGTGCTGCAACGGCAGAGGCGGTGTGTCACCTATTCCAATCCCTGTTCTTTGGAAAGTTAAAAAAGGCAATTAGATGGACGCCTTAGGTTTCTTGGTTTTGACAATGGGGTGATTGGCGAAGCATAGCACAGATTTGCCAATCGGGATTTTATGGATGAACAGGGCCCAATGTAGATTTCTCTCTGCATCAAGTGATGTGAGATTGAATTTTAAGTAGACGTCACAATGGCAAGTTCTGTATGGAACATCCAGTGCAATTTGAAGAGCAGAATGATGATGCGGGTTGAGCCTGCTTAATGTTTTATTAGTAGCTGACCTGCAAGCAGTGTCACAGCAGTCAAAAAGTGGTAGAGTGATAGCTTCAACAACAATGTGCGACCAAAGGCAAATGGGGAACCAACAATGTTTGTTTCTGGATACAAATCCCCACTTTTGCATTTGATTTTATTTGAGATGTTATCGATATAGGGGCTGGAATGTAAGTCTCAAATCAATCAGTGAAACCCAGGTATTTGAAGCACTCTGTTCAATGATGCTGTATCTGATATCCATAATAGGTGATGGGAATAAAACTGAATGTTTGTTTGAAGAAAATACCATAATGTTATTTAAGTGATGAGAATTGATATTCAATTAAGTCGAAATTGTATTGGAGATTCTGTTTGATTTTGTTTGGAGAATTACCTGATACTATCCTTACAGCGTCATCAGCAAAATTCTGAGTGATTTAAGTTTAGTCCAAGATTGTTTAAATATAAGGAGAACAGAATTGGACCCAGCACAGAAACAGATCCGTTAAGAAGCAGTCAAGGGACACGTGCGCGCGTGCGTGGGCGGACGGGCACGACTTTCTGTGAATATCCAAGTGGGTGCTGTGAACAATAATAAGGCGGTGGCCTGTGATGCCCTGCCAAGCACTCGCCGCGCCGCTCCCCTCCCCCCGCCGTTGTTGCCTCCCGCGCTCGTGCCATGGCACGACGATCAGCAATGTGAGCAGAGCGCACAATGGAGTCGCCGCCGTTGGTCGTGTCCGGCGAGGTCTCCCGCCACGCGACACGTTCCTCCGTGGCTCCCGCACACCCCCATGCTCTTTGTCTGTTTGTCCGAAATCTCCCGCTGCTGTGTCGAGACCCGTCTTGTCGGTATTTTTCCTCCCAGTCAACGTGGAACGTTGGGCTAACGTTGTATCTGTGGTTCCATTCACACACAATGCCAACGTTGGTGCAATGTTGCAAATTCATAACCCCTTATCAGTGCCTACCTCAATACAGACCATTTCAGACCTTATTGGTCACCCCTGTACCCTCATGAATCTCAATGTTCATCCTACAAAGCCCCATCACTAGGGAGAAACAAACAAAAAGACAAAAAACGTGTTTTGCCCGTATTGAAAGGACTGTACGCCGTATGGACCTGAAAACGAATTTTCCCTGTACAAGAATACGGGGTAAACCGTGTGGCTTGACAGCTATGCAATTTGCCGGGTTCCCACGTTCTAAACATTCGCAATGCAACGTGCCAAACATGCCAGGGCAGAATTCTCCTAAAATTGAGTCTTAATACTCAGTGTGGCTTTTCTGGTTCGATAACTGGCATCATCATTATCATTCTTATAAGCCTGGTTGTTCTACGGGTAGTTTGTCGCCAGCCATGGTAATGCGGAATTTCCAATGGTGAATGTCAATCAACGGTGGCAATGAGCATTGTTGGCGCTGCTCTGGAACAGATTGATGTTTTGAATATCGAATTGTGTGAAGGAGCGAGCTCCACAGATACGACCAAAACAAAATCTTAATCTGGAATCAGCCGAATATCTTTACAGGATAAGTATCTCATTAACAACCGGGGCTTAAGCGGGTTCCTGTGCGTCGCGGCATCGCAGCTGATATTTATTCTGCAAATGCCACGCTGTGCATGTTTGTGTAACACTAGCTTAATTGCCGAATGGAAATGCGGACGCAAAAGGTTGCTTTAATTAACGGAGTTGTCAGCCGCCCGCTGCTGCTGCTGTTGTTTTGGAGCAAATTGTCCGCCTCCTGGCGATATTGCAGACAGCCAAAGTAGACAGCACCCATCTGAAGTTGTTAAAGAATCGGCATCGATGCCGTGAGATCTGGAGCGTTGCCGTCCCAGCAGGGCCTAAAATGGCACATGTGTGATTCGGATCGCAGTGCATCCCACTTTTTGCCTCTCTCAGTGAGATCCTAGCTCGGGTGGCTGTAGCGACAATGCGGGAGCTCTCCTGGCTCTTCAAAGACCAATGGAACGTGTGAAGAAATCTGCGTTAGAGATGTAATTAAAGAGGAAGAGGAGATTGCAGTGGGTGGGGCGAGCAAACAGGATGCAGGAGGGCAGGTTAGCAACGCAGGCCAGGAGTCGAACTCGAGTTGCCGGGTTAATAGCGCAGTGCGCTAACCGCTGCGCTGCCACTCTATGCCGAGAAGCCGTCTCACCTACATTAACAGCCCTGAGATACTGGCAGAAACTCCACATTCATATGGAGGAGGCCAGTCCATCCACAGGGCAATCATTGTTGACTTCCCGCAAAGTGGGCTCTCATTTGATCATCCCTGAAGATATTATTGGCTGGGTTGGACGCTCCCACTGGGATTTTAAGTTATGACATTCTGAGCGGGGGGGGGGGGGCTTGTAGAGATGAGGGGAATGGATGTTGAATTCTTCGGTGTGCGATTCTCAACGCTGCACATTCCCGGGACACGGTCCACCCTTCGTGATGGCACCGCCGCACGGCGTGGCTTGGGATTCGGAATCTCTCCAGGAGCCGCTCTTAACCTCGGAGGCCGTGTTTGCTTAAATCTCGGCGGCGAGAGCTCCTTTTGTGGGGCTAAGTGCGCTGTCCATTTGGAGAAGAAAAGAAGTGCGTGCACACACACACCGGCGTGTATCGCCTGAGACTCATTAGGCCACCACAGAGGCCGCGTGGTTATCGCGTTCCTCCGGGTATGGCGCGCGAGCGCTTAGGCAGCGCATGTGCACCGTGCTCCGGAGGCGTGGGGGGGGGGGGAGTTCCTCACTCACCCACTCACTCATTCATTCACCCACCCACGTGCTTTCTCGCTCTCTCTCTCATCCGCTAATGCTCGTTTAATGCAAAAGCGAGCGCGGCTCCGCTCGGCCTCCACTGGGTGTCTTAGAGCTCTCGCTAAGTGCACACATGTGAAGTGTGGTGTGTGAAGTGTGGCGTCTGAAGTGTGGTGTGTGTTTGGGAACGGTAGTGTAGCGGTCAGCACGCTGCTCTAAGAACCTGGCGACCCGGGTTCGATTCCCACTCACGGCTAACACCAGTGACGATTATCTGAACCAGTCCTGGGCCTCCCCTAGGTCGACTCAGCCTCAAATGAGTACCTGGTGCGATGTGTAAACATCACCACTAGGGAGACAAAGGCGACCGTGCGTGGTGTTAAGCCACCCACCTCTTCGCGTGCCGTGCCGGCCTTCATAGGTGGCTCGCTAACAGCACTTTCCCCAACAGTCTGTTCAGGTTACACGGGGGATTTTTGTCTTTGTCATAGCGTGTGAAGTGATTCGTGAGATTTTTTTGTCAGTGCAACAACAAAAAAAGTGTATGTTGTTCAATGCGGGGAAAGAGCGGCGGCTCTATGGGCTGTCAGCAAAAGCTCTGACATCACTTTTCTCACCGTCGCCTGCTTCTTGAAACTCGCGCGCACCCAGCCCACCACGCGTTGCATCCACCACCAGCGCCGCCAGCATCGTTCTCCTACGCCGGTGGTTCTCAGCCTGTGGTTACACGCGGACCCCTGGGGGTAAAGTGGCAATATCCCAGGGGGTACGCGAGGTGATTTATAAACGTGTGAAATTATATTGTACGTGAGACTCATTGAAATGAATCAGCCAAAATAAAATAACTACGATACAATTTTAATCCATTTGATAATCTAGAACGATATTAAAAACCTTTATAAACGCATTGATCGTTAACAACGTGGTGTCCAAGAGTAACCAGCGAGCAGGAGCACATCACGCCATACTTGTAGAGTGTCCGTTAAATTTTAGTGAGTTAGGATACCTTCACAAAGTGGACAATTGGTTAAAATATTGGCGTTCATTATTCATACATTTATTTTGTCAGAACCATTCTGGGTCAGGCAAGGGGGTAATCGGTTGAAACCAAATTCAACAAGGGGCACAGTAGCCTATAAAAGGTTGACAACCACTGCCCGACATCGTCCTCCATCCCACGGTCACCCTCCCTTCCGCCCAATCAACACGGAGCCACACCAACCCCTCTGGTGTGCCGCCTTGGCCTTCGCAGGTGCTTGCTAACAACACTTGACCCCAGTGGCCCGTTAAAGGCTATACGGGTCGTTGTGGGGACCTTTGGTCTCTCTGTGTGTTTTCCCACAGGAGCTCATCACGGCCTGGTACATCGGCTTCCTGGCGCTCGTCTTCTCCTCCTTCCTGGTCTACCTGGCCGAGAAGGACGACAACAAAGACCAGTTCGCCACCTACGCCGACGCGCTGTGGTGGGGCACGGTACGCCGTGCGCTGCCCTGCGGTGGCTTGGCCCCATGGAGATGTCCCTCGGAGCGATAGACCTCGGGTGTGCAAGCGGTGAATCTGCACCGGGACCCAGGCACCGGGGCTGTGAAGGAGAGAGAGAAATTGGACATCGGGACCCTTGGACTTGCACTGAGGTCCACGGATTCACACAGAGACCCATAGACTCACGCAGAGATCCAGGGAATCACATAGAGACCCAGAGACTAACACAGAGATCCACGTAATCATATAGAGATCCATGGATTAACACAGACATCCACGGAATCACATAGAGACCCATATACTAACACAGACATTCACAAAATCACATAGAGACCCATAGACTAACACAGAGATCCACGGAATCACATAGAGACCTCTAGACTAACACATAGATCCACGGAATCTCATAGAGACCCATAGACTAACACAGAGATCCACGGATTCACATAGAGACCCATATACTCGCACAGAGATTGACGGATTTACATAGAGACCCATAGACCCACACAGAGATCCACGGAATCACATAGAGACCCATAGACTCGCACAGAAATCCACGGATTTACTTAGAGAGCCATAGACTCGCACAGAGATCCACGGATTTACATAGAGACCCATAGTCTCGCACAGAGATCCACGGATTTACATAGAGACCCATAGACTCGCACATAGATCCACGGATTTACATAGAGACCCATAGACTAACACAGAGATCCACGGAAGAAGAAGGGCATTGGGAGTTCAGGATAGAAAGTGGCAGGACAGTGCTGTAGATGTGATCAGGGAGAGAAGGAAGAGGTTGTGGTGGGTGGGACGCGTGTGCAGGCTGTGGGAGGAGGAGGGCACAGGCCACCAAAGTCAGACGCTGCGGTAGCACCCAGAGGTGGGCGACCACGGGGCAAACACCATGCCAGGTGATGGCGATCATGGTGGCAGTGGTGGTGGCGGTGGTGGTAGTGGTGGTGGCGATGGTGGTAGTGGTGGTGGTGACGGTGGTCGCGGTGGTGGTGGTAGTGGAACTCTAAGAGTGCTTCTTGGAAGTTAGATGATAATAATAATAATTTATATGTATCTGTAAGGCGCCTTCTACTGTCTCAAAGCGCCTTGTAAGAGTAAGGATAACAAAATGCCGAGAGACACAGAAGCTAAATAAAATAAGATGTGTTTTAAGACAAGATTTAAAAGTATCCGCATTATCGGATAAACGAATTTCCAACGGTAGGCAATTACACGACCGTGGCTCAGACACAGGAAGTGGCAGCTCACTCCAGGAATGCAGCCAGGATCGAGGTACGCACAGAAGGGCAGAGTCTGCGGATCTTAACGACCTTGAGGGGATGTACAGATGAATTGGCTCTTGAATATATGGTGGTGGTGCTTGTCTATGCAAGGCTTTAAAAACTCGTTGAAGACTCTTAAACTCTACTCGTTTCAAGATCGGAAGCTAGCGTAATGATAAGATAGCCAGAGAAATACGATCACGTTATTGGGGTTCGGGTGAGCACCCTAACTTCCGCTATGCAAAGACTGCAGGATGCGGCTAAAGTCGGGATGCCCTGGCGAGGTGTGGGAGCATCAGTGACCAGCCGCTGGTCGTGTTGCCCCCATTGGGTATGGTCTGCATCATACTGGAGACTGTTCACTCGTGTGAGAGCTCGCCGCTGACATTCAGTTAATTTCACTTGTCGCGTATGATGTTTATTGTGATTATGCACTCGCGGTCATCCCGGCATCCCTGGCGAGATCACGTTATTAACCCCCGGCGCGCAGCCTCTCTGTCAAATCCTTTGGCGTACACGCGGCTATTATACTCTGCTGGCGAGAGAGATCTGTCATCGCTCAGAGGGGCATAACTTTAAATCACCGGCGCATTCATTTCACTGCATTGTCCATCATCCTTCAGGGGCCGGTGCATATGTGGGGGTTGACGTCCACCTCCCAGCTCCCCGTGAGCGGGCGGGGTACGACCTCCACCCCCTCCACTCCCCCCCCCCTTCCTCTTCGGCCGCCTCTCGCCGGGCCCCCCCACGCCAGTGCCCTCTCTGAGGGACATATATTACCACCGCCGAGGTTATCCCGCACCTGCCAAGCACTAATCAACAGAAACGGCAGCAGTATGAATATGCACACTTACCCTCCCCCCCCCCCCCCGGGTGGATAAGCCCTAATCCGCGTGCCCGCAATGCTAATGCTAGTGGGAAAGGAACAGCGGGGATAGCGCTATGAGGCACGCCTCACTGTTAACGCTATTTCTACTGTGTAAACGCGCTGCGTAAAGCACGCTGTGTAAACGCGCACGCGAGCGTAAACACGCGCAAACGACGGCAGTCATATATGCTGCAGTACACGTACCTCACGCGCACGCTCAAATCACTCACACCACACCCACACTGGAGCCCTGCCCTCGCTCTCACGCCGGGCACACCGTCGCTCCACGCAGAAACATCACGTGCAAATCGCAGACACCACGCCAAGGTTCTACCCACAAACACAGAAATCACACTAAACCGATATTCTGAACTAAAGTTTAGTCATGGCGCCAATACACACTTCCTGGAGGAGGAATATTTCACGAGGAGAACCGAGCGTAACTCTGCCTATGAACCCAGCTACTCGAACGTCCTACCACATACCTTGAAACTGGACTCGCGGGGAGAGTCGGAGGGAGAAGGACGAGAGAAGACTTGCCCAGTCATTGCTTCGCAGCAGCACTCGCTGCCATCATAGGGATGCTGTGAGCGGGTTGAAGAGGCAGGACGGCAAGCAGGGAGTGGGTCATGACGGCCCGGAGGTTCTAGACAACTGCCCTAATCGTCCCGGGGCTCCCACCTTTATACTCTAAACTTCAAAGGCCCGGAGGCGTCGTGTCACGCAGCCAATCACGCGCCTACCTTTCGATTTACAATTGATGCCCCGCCCTCACCTGAAGCGTCCGTTATGCCCCCACTCATTGTCCCTTGCTCAGGGTTCCTTGCTCATGGTGCCTTGCTCCGCTCATCGTTTTCCCGTGCCCAGTAGTTCACGTCTTAGGGTCTGCTCTTTATGGATAATATTCCACCCTACGTCCTCCCCCCAATGTTGTATGTAGCTCATTGCGGTTGGCCCAGGGAACCTTTTCTTTTTGCGCCCATACAATTTTAAGCCAATTTAGGGGCACCCCAATGTAACCTGTCCTGTGGGGGTCGGCTAATCTCCTGGCACCGGGAAACCGTGGAACTCTCCCCCTAGGGGCCCTTCGGATTAAAACCCGATGTGCCAGGCAACCCCCCGCCAGGACACTACGTGAGTGCACTGCGTGCAGGTGTGTGTTTAGTGCGGGGCCGGTGGGGAGTCGCGGCGCTTGCAGAGTTGCTCTGCGGTCGTGGAACCACACATCCTGGCAGCGCTTGTGTTTGCGCAAAACCCTCGGCCGGTTTCAACTTTCTCGTCGGCATCAGCAGCTTGTGGCTTTTGAATGGATGCCACCGTGTGGCCCGATGGCACGAGCACCACTAAACGACTGCGATAACAACTTAACGTGACTCCCACGCTGTTTTGCTGATCTCCCTTGACAGCGCCATGCCCGTGCTGGTGTTTGACCATACTTCACCACGCCAGTCGGCACTGGTTGGTGAAGGGGAGGGGACCCAGAAAACCCGTTGAGATATCACGCATCACTGATGCGGCCAGGAATCGGACTCGGATCCTTTGATTCGTAGTGCAGTATGCTAACCACTGCGCCACTGCTCCACATTGAGAATTCGACTCATCTCCATCGGCAGCTTTGAGCCTTGGAAGAAACTCCACATTCCCATGGCAGAGATCAGTCTATCCACAAGACAAGCACTGTTTCCTTCACACAAAGCGGTGATTATTTTTTTATCGATCCCAGAATAATTATTGATTTGGATGATGATGATACCAGTGGTGGTGGTGGTAATGCTGATGGATGACGATCCTGCTGATCCTGCTTTATGATGGGCCAAATTGTCCTCTGGCCACGATTTGAACTCACGGCCTTCTCCTTGCTTGACAGGCGCTGTGACCACAGCGTCACTCAGCCAGATTAATCTCCGCTCACGTCCGCGTGGGCTGTTGTTCGTAGATCACGCTCACCACCATCGGCTATGGAGACAAGTACCCCAAGACATGGCCAGGGAAGCTGCTCGCGTCTGGCTTCGCACTGCTGGGTATCTCCTTCTTCTCTCTGCCGGCGGTGAGCGCCAATCCCCCGACCTTGCCACACCACCTCCCCCTCCCCCCTCGTGTGCCGTGGTGGCAGACCAGCGCGGTCCTGCACCTACGCCGTTATCTCTGTCTGTCTGCTACGGCAAACATGTAGGGAATTTCAACGGGACGTACATCTTTGCTTATTGACCTGGTCAAGGCCTATAATACCATCAACAGGCTAGGGCTCTGGGTTGTTCTTCGTATTTTGTAGTTCCTGACCCTCTGTCCGCAATTATTAAGGTATTTCATGATGGTGGGCAGGCCCGGGTAAAGCTGCGTGGCCAGAAGTTACTGCCATTCCCTGTTCACCTTGCGTTATGACAGGCATGACCTTTGGCCCCTATACTATTTAAAATCTTTTTTTGATTTAAAGCTTTCGTGACTGCAGTAATTCATATTCTTAGTTTTTTCGGTAAAGTCACGTTGAAGAGAAACAACAAAATAACAAAATATATAAAACAATAAAAAATTATCACGACGTTTCGACCATAACTCAAACGGTCATCATGATGACATAATTTGAAAATATTTCCATGGCTGCACCAGAGAATTTCTATCTGGTACAGATGCAATGAAGGCTGATCTATGCCCAGGTGTGGTCAAGGGATTACTACCCTTTTGGTTAACCGTGTTATGCAAGCTGATGATCTAGTAATTACTACTCACTCAGAAGAATGTTGAGACGCTGCTGCTGAACCTGGAGCGTGCCAGTAAGAAGTGGGACCTTACTATCAGCCCCACAAAAACAAAGCACCACACACTCAGTATTGTGGCATCGAATGCTCCACCCTCTCCACTCCTCGCGAGTGATGGGGGCAACTGTGGCGAGGGTGGAGAAGCTTCTGTACCTGGGCAGCGTGCTTATGACCAGATCCAGTTTGGCAGGGGCGGTCTTTACTCAGAATCACTCGAGCGGCATTATCTTTTCATCAGCTGCATAACGCTGTGTGGAAGCCACCTGGTCTTATCACTGCATAGACAGCTCTGGGTCTTCTTGGTCGCAGTTATGCTCTTAATTTTCCTATGATTACGAAACATTAAAGGAGCCCTTTAAACAAACCATTTTTATAGACCCACTGAGCTATGTATCTCTTTTTGAGAAGCGGCCTGGCCACTTCTGATAACTAATGAGTAAAGTTGCTTATTGCGTGGAAATGTATAGCAGCCAAATGTTCTAAACGCGTGTTTCTAAATGTGGAGGGGAAAACTTGAGGACCCGGATAAAAAAGCATGTCTACGATCCATCCAACCAGACTGGATTGTGTGAAGAGCTTACAGATCCTTGAAAGATTTGGACACATTCCCATAAGTGAGCTCCTCTGTCAGGCAAGGCTGCATTGGCTGGGTCATGTAGCCTGCATGCCAGCCAGGACGTGCTCACGCAGCATCTGTTTGGCTGGATAGAAGGGTCTAAATAAGCCCAGCATGAGCTAGCAAAGAGATGGAATCGTGCGGTACAGAAAGATGTGGAGCTGATTGGACTTGCCAATGACTGGTATCAGCATTGTCAAGATCAGACCCTCTGAAGGAGTCTCTTGAAGGATGCTACTGGGCGATTGGAGGCAGTCGCCTTCCAACAACAGCAGAGGACAAATGAGTGGTGCTCACAACAACGAGCGGAGACCGGGGTGACTAAAACGCATCTGCCAGTCGTCTCAATCAGTCAAACCATGGCACCTGGGTCTGTCACTTTACGTGTCATCAAAGTGTGCCTAGCCTGGCATAAGTGCGACGGTGACGTCACTGCCACTTGGTGCCGAGCGCCCATTATTGTATATATATGTTGAACTTTTTTTTCACCGTACGTGGCCGCCGTGTTAATGGGAGGTGCAATTGTTGGTGTTGTATTCGGTGCCCCTAGGGCATTCTGGGCTCAGGATTTGCACTCAAGGTGCAGGAACAGCACCGGCAGAAGCACTTTGAGAAGCGGCGCAACCCGGCGGCCAGCCTCATCCAGGTACAGCGCAGCACAAACGCGGCACACATTGTACACGCAGCACAACAGCACATTGTACACGCAGCACAACACGGCATACATTGTACACGCAGCACAACAGCACATTGTACACGCAGCACAACACGGCATACCTTGTACACGCAGCACAACACAGCACACATTGTACACGCAGCACAACACGGCACAGATTGTACGCGCAGCACAACACGGCATACATTGTACACGCAGCACAACACAGCACATTGTACACGCAGCACAACATAACACACATTGTACCCGCAGCACTACACGACACACATTGTACACGCAGCACAACACGGCACACATTGTACACGCAGCACAACACAGCACACATTGTACACGCAGCACAACACGGCACACATTGTACATGCAGCACAACACAGCACACATTGTACACGCAGCACAACACGGCACACATTGTACACGCAGCACAACACAGCACACATTGTACACGCAGCACAACACAGCACACATTGTACACGCAGCACAACACAGCACACATTGTACACGCAGCACAACACAGCACACATTGTACATGCAGCACAACACGACACACATTGTACACGCAGCACAACACGGCACACATTGTACATGCAGCACAACACGACACACATTGTACACGCAGCATAACACGGCACACATTGTACACGCAGCACAACACAGCACACATTGTACACGCAGCACAACACGGCACACATTGTACACGCAGCACAACATAACACATTGTACACGCAGCACAACACGGCACAGATTGTACACACAGCGCAACATGATGCACGTTGTACACGCAGCACAACACAGCACATTGTTCACGCAGCACAACACAACACGCATTGTACACGCAGCACAACACGGCACAGATTGTACACGCAGCACAACACGGCACACATTGTACACGCAGCACAACACGGCACACATTGTACACACAGCACAACACAGCACATTGTACACGCAGCACAACATAACACACATTGTACACGCAGCACAACATAACACACATTGTACCCGCAGCACAACACAGCATACATTGTACACGCAGCACAACACGACACAGATTGTACCCTCAGCGCAACATGGCACACATTGTACACGCAGAACAACACAGCACACACAGCACACAGCATGGCACAGCACACGCAGCACGACACAGCACACACAGCATGACACAGTACACACAGCATGACAGTACACACAGCATGACACAGTACACACAGCATGACAGTACACACAGCATGACAGTACACACAGCATGACACAGTACACACAGCACCACACAGTACGCAGAGCACACACAGGATGCACAGCAACGACACAGCACACACAGCACACAGCACAACACGACACAGCACACACAGCACACAGCACGACACAGCACGACAAAGCAAGTTCATACCTGTCAACCCCTTATCAGTGCCCTACCTTATTTTGCATACCAATTCAGACCTTATTGGTCACCCCGTGCCCCTTATAAATCTCAACGTTCATCCTACAAAGTCCCATCACAAGGGAGAAACACAAACAAATAGGCATGTTATTCATTTATTTTGCCCGTATTGATACGGCTGTACTCCGTATGGCCCTGAAAACTCAATTTCCCTGTTACAAGAACACGCGTGAACCGTATGAGTTGACAGCTGTGGGCTTTACAGGTACACGTGTTCACCCAACGCCTGGTCCTTCAATATTTCATATTGAGCCGTGTATTTTTGTTTTGTTTCCTTAATCGAGCACTGAATTATTAAACTTCGAAGGATCATGATAGCCGATTAATGTTTGATGCGTAGCATGAACTGTGCCCACCACGATCTATTCACAAAATGTGGATATTCTGCACTGACAAAACCCACACTCCCCCGGAGGGTTTGTGGCGTATTCTATGATGTATATATGAAGTATATATTCCAGTGCCTTTGTGGGTATCCTAGAATTCCCGCTTGTTACTCTCATGGAGTGGTTACGGTACCCCCACATCGTGTGCAAGAGTGGCGACTCCTCCCCCCCCCTCCCTCCAGAAGATGTCTTCGCAGAACTACTTCCGAGCTCGCTTATGCAGTGGAGGAGTGGGGTGGGGGTGCCCCCTTGTCCGCAGCCCGTGCCGTGCCACGCGAAGAGTGTTGGGCACGGGTCAGTCACCCTAGAAATGTTTCGTTGACGGAGCGGGGAATGCGTCGGAATCGAGTGACAAAATAAATTAAATTGAGGCAGAGCTTGGTTAGAGGTAAAAATAGATCGACGTGATGTTTTTTTTTGGTCAAATGTTTTTTTGCGGCACACGTTAAGCCAGACGAAGACTCGCGAGACCCGCGAGACCCGGGGATCGGAGTCTCAACGAAATCTCACCACAGACTTTGAGACCGAGGGTATCAAAGAGAATCGTCTCTCACCTCGTCTCTAACCTCGTCTCCTACGGATGCCTTGTAGGAATACAGTACATAATAACGATGTTATTCTAATATTTGTTTTATTCACCACGATTACTGAAACTCAGACGAAGCCCACACACGTCCCTCATACGTAAGAAACAGCGACGTCAGGAACGCATCCCCATGTATACAATGGTATCGTGGCCCCTTTTAGCAGCGATTCGACTCGCGCTACCTTCTCCAGGAGGGTGTCTTGAGGAGCGCTCGGCGTGGACTGCCTGTGCATGTTGAGGAGTTGGGGGTTTGTTGTTGTTTTTGTTTGCTGTGCCACGCGTTCCTTGGTTGCCAGGCTGACGCCATCAACTCGCTCCACGCGGCCAGCTGCTTGTATCGCATTGGGCGGCGAGACCGCTGCAGTGGTGGCGGTAGTGAAACAACACCACCACTGCCACCACCACCGCCACCTCTTCTGCCACCATCACTACAGCCACCACCATTGCCAACAATACTACCGCCGCCACTACCACTATCGGCACCACCACCACCGGCACCACCACTACCGCCACCACCACTACCTCCACCACTCAAGACAAAGACCCCCCGTATAGCCTGAACAGATTGTAGGGGCAAGTGCTGTTAGCGAGCACCTATGAAGGCCGGAACGGTACACGAGGGGGTGGGTGGCCAACACCACGCCCGACCGCCTTTGTCTTCCCAGTGCCGATGTTTACACACCGCACCAGGTACTCATTTGAGGCTGAGTCGACCTAGGGGAGGCACAGGACTGGTTCAGATAATCGTCACTGGTGTTGGCCGTGAGCGGGAATCGAACCTGGGTCACTGGGTTTATAGCGAAGCGCACGAACCGCTACACTACCGCTCCCCACCATCACTACCACCACCACCGCCACCACCACCACTACTGCCACCACCACTGCCACCACCACCACTGCCACCACCACTACTGCCACTACCACTACCGCCACCACCACTACCGCCACCACCGCCACCACCACCACCGCTTCCACTAACACCACCACCACTATCGCCACCACCACCACCGAGAATGAGAACGTTCAACACGCATTCAGATGTTCAAACACCAAACAGAAATCTTTTGCAAGGCATCATGTCTGCCTTCGCCACACGTACTTGTGGCAAAACACGCAAACAAACATCCTCTTACAATATACGCATTGTCTTTGAAACTGATTAGCTTACTCCAGAGACTGGCTTTTATATGGCCTTGTCTCACAAGTGTCAGACCAAAAAATGCAGAAAGCGAACAGTACAAGGACAATGCACGTATCAAAGCATTTCTTACTCAGGTCGAGCAGTTGCATCTATGGGGACACTATCAAAAATGGGTCAAACCTATTCTTATTTTTCCTTCATGTTTGATACTGGCAAACAAAGGTCCCATTGGATATAACGCTTAGCACGTGAAGTCAATCACACATGCGTCACCGTGCAAGGAAAAACGACACAACGGGGAGACGGTATTGGCCAGTGTCCCCTTCTCCCTGGCTGCCCAAAAAGAGAGAGGGGAGGGAGAAGCGTTGCCTCCGAATGGTCGCCCGTTGTACACGCCTCGTCGTCGCGGTCACGGTGTTATCGACGAGCGCGTTGACGAGCCTTCTTGCTTCAAGGCGCGAGAAGGGCCGCGGAGTTGCAATGGCAACGAAGGAGCTCGACGTCCCGCGACGTCCCGCTGCCGTTCACCCAAAACGACCGGCCCAACTTTGCAGAGCCACGCGGCAAACTCTCCCACAGCCGCCGAAGGTTTGAGGAGTCGGGACGCTCAGGACCCATGGGGGGGTGGACCACGGTTCAACTCCCGAAGCAGACGCGCCCCCATCCCCCATACCCCATACCGAAAGACCCAAATAATATGAATTCCTGCAGTCACGAAAGATTTACGTCAAGATTTAACGTTTGGCACCGCCCTTCGCACGAGTGAGCGTTGGGGTATCGAACCGGGGCCGTCTGGTTATCTGCGTCATTGAATACGGACAGCCATGGCGACAAATTGAGCTCAGTTCGCCGGGTTCGTCGCGCTGTGCTCTAACCGCTGGCCCACCGCTCCCCACCCAGACACATGCAGACATTGTCTGGCTGTATAGGAACACCGAGTATCTTTCACATCATGGTACGAATAGTGATCATAATAATAATAAAAGACATTCACATTTTGAGCACCGATTGTACTTTACGCACTGCATTGGACATTCCGAATGGGATCAATTCCAATTTAAATGTCACTTGCGCTGTGCGCCGCTCGCTCGTCATGAAACAGGACACGAGACTCGGATTATTACGTGTCCCTTACCGGCCGTGTTGCGAGCATGGCGACGACAGCCGCAACCAAGGCCGGCGACATTGAGTCCAGATTAATTAACACGGCCCATCAAACCCTCCCAGTACCCCCCCCCCCATCGCCCCTTGTCGCGTGCCAAGTGCCGTCCGTCCGGAACTCTGCCGCTAATGAAAGTCGTCGTGACCAGCCCGCCGAGCGTGTCACGTTCGACCTTTTCAGCGCGTTCCACGAGAGTTTGGCCCCTGGTCGCAGTGGCGCCGCCTCCGGTGCCGCCAGTTCCGCCGCTGATGCCACCACCACTCCGGTGGTCTCACAGAGCAGAGGGAGGGCTGCTCGTCAACACTCCCAGCCCCCGGCGTTGACTCGGCCCGTCATCCCTCTGGGGGGGGGGGGGGGGGAGGCGGGTTGTCGCTAACACACGACTTGCTCATTTGTGAAGACGTTTAAACCAGCGGTGTCATTTGGTGTTTCTGCTCACGCAAAGTGCGCCGATACAAAGGTAACCCGTGCGGTAACTCTTGCCCCAAGAAACATCGGCGCTGGGGAGATAAAGGTGAACGAGCGTGGTGCTGGCCACCCACCCCCTCGTGCCCCTTGTCCCAAAAGTCTGTTGGGGCAAGGGCTGTTAGCGAGCGCCGATGAAGGTTGGCAAGGAGCATGCGGCGGGGTGGGTGGGTGGCCAGCACCACGCCCGTTCACCTTTCTCTCCTCCAGCGCCGATGTTTACACCGCACCAGGTACTCGTTGAAGGCTGCATCCACCAAGGAGATGCCCATGTCTATTTCAGATATTCGCCACTGGTGTTGGGTGCGATTGCGACTCCAACTCAGGTCGCCGGGCGCATAACGCAGCGCGATAACCACTGCACCACCGTTCCCCACACAATAATCACACACGTACGCACCAACACACTCCCAACATATATCCGTACAATCACTCCTAGGCAAGGGCACGCACAGGAATGTCAACACACCCACTCAGATCGAAATTTATACTTAACAGCAAGGCATGCGTGCGCGCACACACACACGCGCGCATTACTACACACCGCTATGCGCACGCACGCCCCAGCTCGGGTCACCGAGTCCTGAACGACTGCAGAGGAGACGGAGCGATGAAATCGGTGCACGCGGTGGGGGGACCGTGGATTACTGCGCCGCCGGATCGCGAGAGGTTGGCGGCGCCTCCTCCTCGGGGGAGGCCTTCATCCTGCAGCGGGTGGATCGCGCGTTGTCATTCTCTCGTTGGTATCGTGCAGTAAAGTAACGTGATTATGTTTAACGGGCACTCTTGTTTTGTGTAACCTCACGAACGGCAGCGCTGTGCCGTGCCTGCGGGTTGTGCCGTGGGCTGTGCTGTGCGCATGGGGAGAGTGGTCCGCAAGCGTCGCGCTCTGTGTGTGTGTGCAGCACTCGCACGCAGAGCGTCGTTGCAATGGGCGATGGTTATAAACGTAACACGGTTAGAACGCGGGTGTTCGGCTGTATTATATCGTTGTTGTGTAAAAAAATGTCCGGAGCGCTGAGTGAATGGGTGGCTCATAATGGCCAATTCAGGATAGATACCTGGGGTTTGATCTTCCACGAAGCTCGTGGTCCACCCTAAAACCATGGCGGCAGTAGATGCTAATAGCTGAATGCTGCACAAATTAGAAATTAAAACTCTCCAGTAGCAGTGCGCGACTGTGGTCATCTAGAACAGACCGTGCAGCGCGTAACAACGCAATGGCCCGATCCACAAATACGAAGAAGGAGACATCACAGTGAAACAGTACTACACCCTTGCTCCTGACGCGGTTATCTGGGCTTGACAATCCGATTGTGAAACTGTAGCTGTATCTTCTTTGGTTCTTTCGGTAAAGTCACGTAGAATGTAGCTCTGCAATCTACATCAGCAGCCGTACGAAAGAAGAGGCAGAAGAAGAAAGGTAGTGAGTTGACACCCAGAGCGTTACTGCTGGCGTGCAGAGTCGACAGCACATCCCGGATACCAGTGACTGCAGATATAACAGCTGCGTCAGCGTGTCGCACACCGCCATGCACAGTATCTAATCCCGAAGAGAGAGAGAGAGCGAGAACCACGCGGGAGGCGCTCGGAGGAGCCACGGGCAAACCGAAAGACGGCAGCAGCAGCAGAAGCCACGTGGTGAGCTGGAGCCAACAGTTTCCCAAGCTCTGCAGTCCTCTACAAAGGTGTTCTATCGGACAGTTAAACTACAGTACTACTAAACTACTTCGTTATTTATTTTACCAGGTAAGGGCTACTGGGCTACATAGCTCTTCTTTCAGAAGCGATCTGGCTATCACAGATGATAGCTCAACGAAGCGGCCTATCACGTGATGTTCATTTTAAATGTGAAGGGAAAAAAACCGAAGGACCCGGAGAAAAATCAACGCGACCATGGGGAGAGAGACACCGCAAACTCCAAATGTACAAGCGTCGTAGGTCGGGATCGAACCTACTGCCGCCTGCATACCAGGCGAGGCAGTTACCATCTCACCACGGTGGCCCCCAATAAATCAGTGTTGACACGTGGGAGGAAATTGGAGCACCCGACGAAATCCCGCGCGTGCGACGGGGAAACACTCGATCCCGTGCAGACACAACCTTGTTTCTCTACTGCATTCTCCTTGCGAGCCAGGGTGCAGCTCCTCTCGCGATGCCCACATGAAGGGGAGTTTCACAGCATCCGTGCGGCGATCCACCAACCCACGAGGCTCCGCAGCGCCTGATCACGGGCAGCCCACGTGCATAGCCACCACAATTGCCCCGGCTAAAAAGAATTAATTCATTTTTTTAAAAAATCGCACCACGAACATTTGGTTGATAATTTAATTCGTATTCCTCCATCTCCCGAGGACGACGATTCACATAACACCGCTCCCCCATGGGATGCGTGCGCGGGCGTGGTGGGGTGGGGGGGAGCAGGGAGGGATGGGGGAAAGAGAATGCTCGGCCGCGCTGGATGGCGAAGCGCCGCGTGCCCGGCACGACGCCGCAGCGAGGGATTCCGATTGACCCTCGAGCCCCGTCTCGGAGTGTCCCCGAGTCATCCTCGATAGCGCACCACAGCCGACTGAAGGGCAGAGTTTAAGGGGTATTTTTATTTGATTTTTACTGATTTGGAAATTCAATTGCCGCTGCTGCTGTTGATGAAGGGATAATGGTTGTGTTCGTGATTGTGGTGATTTAGAGTTGTTCTGATTATTGTGTGGTGGTGGTTAGCACGCTGCACTACGAACCCCCGCGACCCTAGTTCGATTCCCGCTCACGGCCTACACCAGCGACGAATTTATACCTGGTGCCCCCTAGGTTGACTCGGCCTCAAATAAGTACCTGGTGCGGTTTGTAAACAACGCCACTATGGAGATAAAGGCGGTTTGATGTGGTGCTGGCCACCCACTCCCTCGTGTGCCGTGCCGGCCTTCACAGGTGCTCCCCAACAACATTTGCCCCAACAGTCTGTTGCAGGCTATACAGGGAGATATTTGTCTTTGTCGTGGTCATGGTCGTGATAGCGATAACAGTGGTAATGGTGGTGTTACAAAGTGTGGTGGTAGTGGTGGTGGTGACAGTGTTGTTGCTGTTGTAGCTGGTGGTGGTACTGTACTGCATTTTCCCTCCACCTGAGTTCAATTCCCATTGCAGCTATACACATAGGAGGTGTCTGAACCTCCCCTGATATTGACTCAACATTCTTCAATATTCTTTCAAATGGCTCACCTCCAAAATGACTCAGCATGGAATAAGCAGTCCCGGTGCGTTGGTGTCCATCTTCTGCATTGGGGAGACGCTAACAACGCTTTGACTCTCGAGCCTGTGGTCGCTCCGCGGGGTTCTCCGTCCCTGTGCAGCGAGGCGAGGTGCGAGTAAGCGAGCGAGTTTGTGAGTGTGTGAGCTACAGGGTTGTGGGGAGCGGTCGTGTAGCGGTTAGCGCTACACTGCGCTACTAACCTGGCGACACCAGCGGCGATTATGTGAACCGGTCATGGGCCTCCCCTAGGTCGACTCAGCCTCAAATGAATATCCTGGTGCGATGTGTAAACATCGCCACGAGGGAGACAAAGGCGGCCGGGCGTGGTGCTAGCCACCCACCCCCTCGTGATCTGTGTCGGCCATCATAGGTGCTCGCAAACAGTACTTGCGCCAAAGAGTCTGTTACAGGCGAAACGGGGGATCTTTGTCTTTTTTCATCTTTGTTGCTACAGGGTTACAGGGCCAATGAGGCCTCCTTTTCCTCAAACAATCTTCCGATGCCCTCGTGTCCTCGCATGCACCGTCACTGCCCCCCCCCCCCCCCTCCGTGTCTCTGCCCTCGTAACTCTGTGCGGCGCTCGCCCTGTGACCACGACCTCCCGCTGACCACCCTCCCCTCTGTGTAGGCAGCCTGGCGCTTTTACTCGACTGACCCCAGCCACCCGTACCTGGTCTCCACGTGGAGAATTTACCAGTGCGTTCCCACCCTCAGGCACGTAACTCTCGACCGCCTATGCTACTCGCGTGCTTCCTGTCTCTCTCTTTTTTCCACACTTTCTCGCACTGTGCATGATCCATCCGCTTCATTTGTACAAAGCGCGACCGCCAACCAAGGTACGGCCGTTGCCCATTCCGCCGGAGACCGAACCCGGACACATCCTCGGCACCGTGCGGTCTATTTACCAAGAGCAGCAGCACCGTGCGGTTGACTGCGATAATTCAACGCAGCAACGTCCGGTGGCCAGATCTCGGCACAAATCAATCGCTGCCAGTTTCGCGGAAACTGTCCGGAACGACCCCGGCTTGAACGGTGGCAACCCTCGGGTGGCCCCTCTGCTTCCCTTGAACAGACGTGACGGCCACCTCAAATATTTCTGCACCCGGCACACCACATTCAGTGTACCGCGTGCGGACGTGGGCGCGTGCGTTTTCTCTTCACTCGCTCAGCCGAGTTATTTTCCCACGCATGTTGAGCTGAGGCCGAACGGGGCGCGCATGCACATACTCGCTTTTTGATTTTCGTCATTCTCCGCATCACCTGACGCTCCGGAACGTAGGAAGCACCCCAAATCTGGTGCCACGTGTCATTAAGGGCTGCACAAGTCCTGTCTCGCGCACGCACGCACGAATCTAGTGGACTGCAAGACGCACCCCCAAATTCAAGTTTAAAGTAGGAGGGGATGAAGCGAGTCTGTCCTCGAATGCGGAGAACATCCCCGACTCAACGACGGCGAGGTACTCGCATGCAATTCTCCCGTCGCCCGGTATCGTGAGAATCCCCCCCCCCGCCTCCCTGCGACTCGCGTCCCGGGCCTCTGTAACCTGAGAGGCGGGCGATTCGACCGCAGCGGTGCTTGGGGGGAACCTGCCCCGGGCTGTCGGCTGCAGGCGACACGAGTGGGTGGTTTGGCTGTGGGTATGTGGTGATGACCCCCCATGATGACCTCCCGGGGCCGAGCTGCAGACGTCAGAGTGGCGCCCCTGGATTCCCTGCCGCCGGCTAGCGGACGGAATGCCGACGAAGCCACCACCACCGCGTGCCGACTCTGCAAACCAACCCCCGTGTACACGATGGCTAGAGAATGGGAAAGCAGAAATGGGAATCTGTCCCATTGATTGGGCACGAATGACAGCAAGCCATCGGTGGCCCCGTGTTGAACATTACGCAACAACGTTTCTATGTACGTTCGGAAAATCAAGAGAACCCAGAATGTAACGCGGCAGGTTTTCCTCGCCATTGGTGTTATGATTCGTGATTGATATTTGGGGCGAGGCTATGTGAATGATAGAACCAAATGTGTGTCGGAAGACCTCTCCATCGCCCGAGATATTAACTACCTCGCCCGGAATACAGGAGGTCGTCGGTTCGATCCCGATCCTGACGCCTGATGTATATTTGGACTTTGCGTGTCTTCCTGTGGTCGTGTGGATTTTTTGTCCAGGTCCTCCGGTTTTTCCCTCCACATTTAAAATCAACATCGCGCGTCTAGAGTACTTTGGCTGCTATAAATTTCCACACGTGATAAGCCACTTCGTTGGTCTATCATTTGTGGCCAGGTCGCTTCTGAAAACGAGCTACATGGCTCAGTGGGCCTTACCTGGTAAAATAAAAATGGTGAATTAAATAATCACGTGGTGCACAAGCATGTAGCGATGCGCCGATTGTTATTGCTGCTACTGATGCTGCTGTATCAGCTCGTCGGTGGGATGGAGAACTGGATGCAATTTGGCTGTGAAGATCGTTCCTAGGCTCACCAGCGAACAAGCCGGCATGGCAACAACAACAATAATAAAAATGGGGCATCGCTATACGCTTATGCACCACGTGACGGTTAAACTCGGTTCGCTATGTTGGGTGGTGGAGGGTCTTGCGACACAAATTTGGCCTGGCCGTCCACTTGGCTTTACACAAAAAAAATCAACGATAAATCGGTATCAAGATTCCTATCCAGCAGGGTCCTGCATTGGGATGTTTGGATATTTGCATATAGGTGGAAGCTGAAATGGTTAGAGAAAAGCAACACAAACGAAATGAATCTTAATAGACAGGTCAGCGATCCACTCGCTGTGCTGCCACCTCTCGGCTACCTTAGGATCTCAGAGCAAGCGGGGAATCTCCGAGTGATCCACCAGCGCCACCTCCACAGCACGACACTACGCATCGCCACGCTTCTCCAAGTGTGTCGGCGCGCCATCGCCAGGGGCACTCCGCAACATTATAACCACCGCTCGCTCCACTCATCCGCTCGCAACATCCACTCTCGGCTTGGTTTGCATGGACTGCATTGCTCCGTTGTGTTTGCCATTGCACCCGTGCGCGCGGCTTCGTGCGACGTGTGCTGCGTGCCGCTTCGTGCCTGCTCGGTTGCAATCTCCGTGTCTGTGCATGTTTGTGCGTGCGTACGCGCGCACGCGCGTGTACGCGCGTGCTCCCTCGTGTCGCGCCGCCGCTTGCGTTTGCCGTGGCGGCAGCGCTCTCTTCGTGTCCGTGCCTCGCGAGCGTCCCCGGCCTTCGATCGCGCTATACGTCGTGTGGCCGTGCGTTCGGCTCGGTTGGCATCGCCTCGCGTTTGCGCCCCGTGCCTGTCAGTGACCTTCGTTAGTCCGTGTACTCCCGCTTCGTACTGCCCGTGTGCTGCTCTGTGTCGACTAAGTTACGCTGGCAATATATGAACGCCCTCGCCTGTAATGCAGGGGTCGTGGTTTCGATCCCGACCCTGACACCTGCTGTATATCTAGAGTTTGCGTGTCTCTCTCCCCGTTGTCACGTGGAGGTTTCTCCAGGTCCTCCGGTTTTCCCTCCAAATTTAGAAGCAACATCACGCGTTTTAGAGTATTTGGCTGCACTAAATTTCCACGTGATAAGCCACTTCATTGAGCGATCATACGTGATAGCCAGGTCACTTCTGAAAAAGAGCCACACAGCTCAGCTGGGCCTTACCTGTAAAGAAAATAAAACAAGTTCAATTGCATTTGCGGTGCACGTGGCGAGTTTTACACGACGGATGGGCTCCCCGCTGCCAAGTGAGAGCCGTGCGCCGGTACTCGTGGCTGTCGGGTATCGGCAGGGCACCCCTGCGTGCCCCCCGTGCCACCCTATAACGTGCGATGGGGCGGAGGCGCTCTTGCTCCCCGCCCCCCCTCGGTATCTCCGCTGGCATCACGACAACCCGGCCGTTTCTGCGAAGATCAAATCCAGAGCAATCGCCGCGTGGCTCGGCAGTAGAACGATCGGAAGTTTGCGCCTTCAAATCCCTCGGTGGAGGTTGACTCGACCCGTCGGCCATCCGTCGTCGATTAAAATAACTACCGCTTTGTGGGGAAGTCAGCAGTGGTCGTCCTATGGATAGACTCGTGCCTGCCGTAGCAACGTGGAATTTCCACCACTGGCTCTCTTGCAGGGCTGCAAATGGGAGATCAGCACAAATCCATAGATGTTCATTTGATCTGGAAATCACTTAGACTTTTAAATACAGTCCGTCTTCCTATAACACTGCGTCTCATTTTCATGACCCTAATTGGATATATAACGCAACGAATTTATTAGGGAATACATTATTGTTTAATAACGCTGGATGCGAATGGGATATAACGCGATCGAGTGAACTATGTTGCGCGAGTAGGAATACGCGGTCGACTGGCTGCCTCGGCGTAGGATCACACAAGGCAGTGGGATGCTGCTGGATGCTTCGAGATGCCACCCACACGCCTCGGTCTATGTTCAGGCTGTGTGGATTCTGCTTTTCCCTACACGATTTATTAATTATCACCACGCGATTTTCCATAAGGCGGTGTTCCTCAGGAGCGCAACTACTACCGCGGCGTTACACGAGAACAGGCTCTGTACGTAAATAATAAGAGCCTAGTGTCAATACACTGCTGGATGAAGACCTCCCCCACGCAGTGTCACTGGGCAGCGCGGGCTGATGAGGTTGGGTGGGCAGGAACGACGCCGGCGGTAAGTGAAACCTCACCCAGTTTGGTGGCTTGCCCGGGGAAATGAAGGTGAGCAGTTGTTGCAAGTTGCTTGTTGCACTTTTGTTCGCGAGTAGAGTCGTTTCATTTGCCCTCTGCGAGACAATCCGTACACCGATTGGGTGCACATTGTCGAAATATACGCGTCCCAGCAATCGCACTCAAGTCGGACGTCGTAGCGTCGCCCCGGCCTCAAAAGAGTCGTGAAAATTCCACATTCTCTTGGCGGCGGACGACCCGCTCATTGGATCGCAACTCTATCCCGACCCGCGACCTTGAGACTGCGAGCTGCGGTTTCTCGCGACGACGCTGGCCCCCCGGTGATCATATTTTAAGCTGCCGGTGAGGGGTTTCCGTAGGTTAAAGATTAAATACATCTGCGCTCGGAGAGACGGTTCGTGTACGTTACGCACACGACATCAATACAATAATTATTGTTTGTGGCTCACGCGTGTCTCTGTGTTTGTGCCCCCCCTCACCACCCGTTGTGTGACCCCTCTCTGAAGGAAGGAGCAAGGAGACATGCATTGCAGGTTGGTCTCCCCACGCGGTGTGAGACTCTCAGCCTCGAGCGCGCGACGGCGCGAGAGAGGGTGGCGCTGAGAGAGTGGCTCTGAGAGTTTCTCTGAGAGAGTGGCGCTGAGGGAGTGGCTCTGAGAGTTTCTCTGAGAGAGTGGCGCTGAGGGAGTGGCGCTGAGGGAGTGGCTCTGAGAGAGTGGCGCTGAGGGAGTGGCGCTGAGGGAGCGGCGCTGAGAGAGTGGCTCTGAGGGAGTGGCTCTGAGAGAGTGGCTCTGAGAGTTTCTCTGAGAGAGTGGCGCTGAGGGAGTGGCTCTGAGGGAGTGGCTCTGAGAGTTTCTCTGAGAGAGTGGCGCTGAGGGAGTGGCTCTGAGGGAGTGGCTCTGAGAGTTTCTCTGAGAGAGTGGCGCTGAGAGAGTGGCGCTGAGGGAGTGGCGTTGAGGGAGTGGCTCTCAGGGAGTGGCTCTGAGGGAGTGGCGCTGAGGGAGTGGCTTTGAGGGAGCGGCGCTGAGAGAGCGGCGCTGAGAGAGTGGCTCTGAGGGAGTGGCTCTGAGAGAGTGGCTCTGAGAGTTTCTCTGAGAGAGTGGCGCTGAGGGAGTGGCGCTGAGGGAGTGGCTCTGAGGGAGTGGCTCTGAGAGTTTCTCTGAGAGAGTGGCGCTGAGGGAGTGGCGCTGAGGGAGTGGCTCTGAGGGAGTGGCTCTGAGGGAGTGGCTCTGAGAGAGTGGCGCTGAGGGAGTGGCGCTGAGGGAGTGGCTTTGAGGGAGCGGCGCTGAGAGAGTGGCTCTGAGGGAGTGGCTCTGAGTGAGTGGCTCTGAGAGAGTGGCTCTGAGAGAGTGGCGCTGAGGGAGTGGCTCTGAGAGAGTGGCTCTGAGAGTTTCTCTGAGAGAGTGGCGCTGAGGGAGTGGCGCTGAGAGAGTGGCTCTGAGGGAGTGGCTCTGAGAGAGGGCTCTGAGAGTTTCTCTGAGAGAGTGGCTCTGAGGGAGTGGCTCTGAGAGAGTGGCTCTGAGAGTTTCTCTGAGAGAGTGGCGCTGAGGGAGTGGCTCTGAGGGAGTGGCTCTGAGAGTTTCTCTGAGAGAGTGGCGCTGAGGGAGTGGCTTTGAGGGAGTGGCTCTGAGAGTTTCTCTGAAAGAGTGGCGCTGAGAGAGTGGCGCTGAGGGAGTGGCGTTGAGGGAGTGGCTCTCAGGGAGTGGCTCTGAGGGAGTGGCGCTGAGGGAGTGGCGCTGAGGGAGTGGCTTTGAGGGAGCGGCGCTGAGAGAGCGGCGCTGAGAGAGCGGCTCTGAGGGAGTGGCTCTGAGAGAGTGGCTCTGAGAGTTTCTCTTAGAGAGTGGCGCTGAGGGAGTGGCGCTGAGGGAGTGGCTCTGAGGGAGTGGCTCTGAGAGTTTCTCTGAGAGAGTGGCGCTGAGGGAGTGGCGCTGAGGGAGTGGCTCTGAGGGAGTGGCTCTGAGGGAGTGGCTCTGAGAGAGTGGCGCTGAGGGAGTGGCGCTGAGGGAGTGGCTTTGAGGGAGCGGCGCTGAGAGAGTGGCGCTGAGAGAGTGGCTCTGAGGGAGTGGCTCTGAGAGAGTGGCTCTGAGAGAGTGGCGCTGAGGGAGTGGCGTTGAGGGAGTGGCTCTCAGGGAGTGGTGCTGAGAGAGTGGTGCTGAGAGAGTGGCTCTGAGGGAGTGGCTCTGAGAGAGTGGCTCTGAGAGTTTCTCTGAGAGAGTGGCGCTGAGGGAGTGGCTCTGAGGGAGTGGCTCTGAGAGTTTCTCTGAGAGAGTGGCGCTGAGGGAGTGGCTCTGAGGGAGTGGCTCTGAGAGTTTCTCTGAGAGAGTGGCGCTGAGAGAGTGGCGCTGAGGGAGTGGCGTTGAGGGAGTGGCTCTCAGGGAGTGGCTCTGAGGGAGTGGCGCTGAGGGAGTGGCTTTGAGGGAGCGGCGCTGAGAGAGCGGCGCTGAGAGAGAGGCTCTGAGGGAGTGGCTCTGAGAGAGTGGCTCTGAGAGTTTCTCTGAGAGAGTGGCGCTGAGGGAGTGGCGCTGAGGGAGTGGCTCTGAGGGAGTGGCTCTGAGAGTTTCTCTGAGAGAGTGGCGCTGAGGGAGTGGCGCTGAGGGAGTGGCTCTGAGGGAGTGGCTCTGAGGGAGTGGCTCTGAGAGAGTGGCGCTGAGGGAGTGGCGCTGAGGGAGTGGCTTTGAGGGAGCGGCGCTGAGAGAGTGGCGCTGAGAGAGTGGCTCTGAGGGAGTGGCTCTGAGAGAGTGGCTCTGAGAGAGTGGCGCTGAGGGAGTGGCTCTGAGAGAGTGGCTCTGAGAGTTTCTCTGAGAGAGTGGCGCTGAGGGAGTGGCGCTGAGAGAGTGGCTCTGAGGGAGTGGCTCTGAGAGAGGGCTCTGAGAGTTTCTCTGAGAGAGTGGCTCTGAGGGAGTGGCTCTGAGAGAGTGGCTCTGAGAGTTTCTCTGAGAGAGTGGCGCTGAGGGAGTGGCTCTGAGGGAGTGGCTCTGAGAGTTTCTCTGAGAGAGTGGCGCTGAGGGAGTGGCTTTGAGGGAGTGGCTCTGAGAGTTTCTCTGAAAGAGTGGCGCTGAGAGAGTGGCGCTGAGGGAGTGGCGTTGAGGGAGTGGCTCTCAGGGAGTGGCTCTGAGGGAGTGGCGCTGAGGGAGTGGCGCTGAGGGAGTGGCTTTGAGGGAGCGGCGCTGAGAGAGCGGCGCTGAGAGAGCGGCTCTGAGGGAGTGGCTCTGAGAGAGTGGCTCTGAGAGTTTCTCTTAGAGAGTGGCGCTGAGGGAGTGGCGCTGAGGGAGTGGCTCTGAGGGAGTGGCTCTGAGAGTTTCTCTGAGAGAGTGGCGCTGAGGGAGTGGCGCTGAGGGAGTGGCTCTGAGGGAGTGGCTCTGAGGGAGTGGCTCTGAGAGAGTGGCGCTGAGGGAGTGGCGCTGAGGGAGTGGCTTTGAGGGAGCGGCGCTGAGAGAGTGGCGCTGAGAGAGTGGCTCTGAGGGAGTGGCTCTGAGAGAGTGGCTCTGAGAGAGTGGCGCTGAGGGAGTGGCGGTGAGGGAGTGGCTCTCAGGGAGTGGTGCTGAGAGAGTGGTGCTGAGAGAGTGGCTCTGAGGGAGTGGCTCTGAGAGAGTAGCGCTGAGGGAGCGGCTCTGAGGGAGTGGCGCTGAGGGAGTGGCTCTGAGAGAGTGGCGCTGTGGGAGTGGTTCTGAGGGAGTGGCTCTGAGGGAGTGGCGCTGAGGGAGTGGCTCTGAGGGAGTGGCGCTGAGGGAGTGGCTCTGAGGGAGGGTGACTCTGAGAGAGTGGCTCTGAGAGAGTGGCGCTGAGGGAGTGGCTCTGAGAGAGTGGCTCTGAGAGTTTCTCTGAGAGAGTGGCGCTGAGGGAGTGGCGCTGAGAGAGTGGCTCTGAGGGAGTGGCTCTGAGAGAGTGGCTCTGAGAGAGTGGCTCTGAGAGAGTGGCTCTGATGGAGTGGCTCTGAGAGAGTGGCGCTGAGGGAGTGGCGTTGAGGGAGTGGCTCTCAGGGAGTGGTGCTGAGAGAGTGGTGCTGAGAGAGTGGCTCTCAGAGAGTGGCTCTGAGGGAGTGGCTCTGAGAGAGTAGCGCTGAGGGAGCGGCTCTGAGGGAGTGGCGCTGAGGGAGTGGCTCTGAGAGAGTGGCGCTGTGGGAGTGGTTCTGAGGGAGTGGCTCTGAGGGAGTGGCGCTGAGGGAGTGGCTCTGAGGGAGTGGCGCTGAGGGAGTGGCTCTGAGGGAGGGTGACTCTGAGAGAGTGGCTCTGAGAGAGTGGCGCTGAGGGAGTTGTGCTGAGAGAGTGGCTCATAGAGAGTGGCGCGGAGTGGCTCTAAGTGAATGGCCACATTTCACGATCGCTGTCATCGTTTCATGAGCTGTATTACCGTGATGTCATCTTTTAGACTTCATCCCGATGATGCCGTCTGCTTATCCTGCGTTCACACGCTCATCCTGCGTTCACACGCTCATCTGCATAGCTGTGGATTTCCATCATAATGATGACAGTTATCATTCTTTGGTTAAGTCACGTAGAATGAAATTAAATTACATAATAATAGAATATGACATTTCGATTGCATCACAAGTAATCGTCATCAGGTACACCTCGAGGCCTCGACACATAGGCGTTTGTTCTGTGTGTCTATGTGTCTCTCTCTGTTTGTCTCTTTGTGAGTCTCTCTCTGCTTGTGTGTCTGTCTGTGTGTCTCCGTGTCTGTGTTTTGTCTCTCTCTCAAATTTAGAACATAATCAACCAGATAGGGTGTTGACTGTTATGTTAGTCGACTCTCTGTGTTGTATTGCATTATATGTCTAAGTTTACTAGGTTTGTTTTCTCATTCATTCGTACCTGATGACGATTGCTTCTGTTGCAATCGAAACGTCGTATTCGATTATTATTAAATTTATTTATTTATTTTCTACGTGACTTTACCGAAAGAACCAAAGAGTTTTGATTTAAAGCTTTCGTGACTGCAGTAATTCATATTCTTAGCTCTTTCGGTAAAAAATTCTCACGACGTTTCGACCATAACACAAACGGTCGTCATCAGGTGAGAATTTTTATTGTTTGATATATATTTTATTATTTTATTGTTTCCCTTCAACGTGACTTTACCGAAAGAGCTAAGATTATAACCAAAGAGTTATTCCTGCAGTCACGAAAGCTTTGAATCAAGACAGTTGTCATCTTCATGATAATGCTCATCATAACTCAATTAACCTTTCTACAACCACAATCTATTTACCAACTTTATCATCATCACAATCACTAACAATGCTACAAATGTACCATCACCACTATCATCATCACCATCGTCAACACCACCGTAGCCACAGTTTATATCGAACTTGTCACCACCGTTATCCACCTCCCTGCAGATGGCACCCACACCGCCCAGGACTCGCTTGGTCACGCCCTCTCCCCACGTAACTCTCCCCTCCTGCCCCCCCACCCCTCTCCCCACGTAACTCTCCCCTCCTGCCCCCCCGACCCTCTCCCCACGTAACTCTCCCCTCCCGCCCCCATTCCCTCTTTCAACGTAACGCCCCCCCCTCCCGCCCTGTCTT